TTTTTTTTTTTTTTTAATCAGGGATCAAACTGGGGAACCTTGCACTTGCGAGGCAGGCAGTGGCACCACTGAGCTAAATCCCTGGCCCAATCAACTTTGATTTATAAATTTAAAATTCCGGCCGGGCGTGGTGGTGCACGCCTATAATCCCAGCACTGGGGAGTCTGACGCAGGAGCATCACTGCAAGTTCAAGACAAGCCTGGGTTACACAGTGGGTTCCAGGTCAGTGAACTATGTAATGAGACCCTGTCTCAAAAACAAAAAGCAAAATTTGAGGCCAGGGTACCAAACAATTTTTTTTAATTCAATGAAGTTTCCACAGAATAACCCAGCCACACTTGAAGGTCGCTGCCGTGCCCACCAAATCTTCCATTTAGACACTGCCGCTGCTCTGACTGGGCAGTGCCAGCTCACATTGTCCAGCTCTGAAACACCGCGGCTCTAGGGCGCTTGGTGTGCTGAACCGCCCTTGACTACCGTCCCAGGTTTAGGTCATCAGACAGAATACGAAGTGGATTTGGAAATAAACCTGAGAGGGCTCTCACAAAGGCTTGTCTTCAACACTGGTTATTTACAGAAGGCCTCAGACTCTGGGACTTTCACTTCCTGTCGTCTGCATAAATATTACTGGAGCAACCTGAGGCGTAAGTCGCCACCTCCAAGAAAGGTGGTTTGTTTAAAGGAATAAGCAGATTCAGGTGCCCCTAAAACCAGTCTGTCTGGCCTTGAGTCTGTTAGGGCTTTCCAGCCCTCAGAAATGATTTTCTCTATGATGCTTAAGGAAAATTTCTGACAGCCACTGCCATGCATAGCAGCATGGTTGTTTAGGAAAGGAGGTAATGGGCAGGTTCAGAACAGAGCTCTGGCTCAGTAATACGTCTGCGGCCTTTATCACTTGCTTTTCTGAACCACGCAATACAGAAAATGCTTTGAGAAGGTGTTCTTGGAATCCCCCCAGGATAGATGGTATGCACCCTTTCAGATTCACTCGAGAAGAGCCATTGTGCACGTGAGTCCTTCCAACATCATATGTTTTTAAGTAAAAACATTTTGCAGCACTGGCGCCAAGGCTGCAGTGCTGAAGAGGCGGCACGGGAGTAGCAGGGAGTTTGAGGGCTGGCAACTCCCCACTGTAGGCGCTTATGGAGAGGGCAGCTAAAGGAGTTAGAAACGCCGCCCCGTTTGAGGAGGGCTCGCGTGTGGGCCGCGGCAATGTGAACCCCTCGAGAGTGGAGCTGCTTTCCGGGTTCTCCGGGGCCTGGAAAAGTGCAGTCTCCACTCGCAGGCCCGCTGTTCTGTGTGTCTGTTTGCAGGCTGTTTGCTGAGTCCTGAACTCCAGCACTCGTGAGAAGGCTGCCCTCGGGACGAGTTGGTCACTTTCTGCTCTTCTTTGGTTCCTGGTGTTTCCTTTTACAGGCTTAAAAATGCTGTAATTTCCTGTCTGTCTCTTAGAAGGCCACTTTTGATTGTTTAAAGTTGTATCATTTCCTGATTCTTCAATCTCTACATAAAGTCTATTTCGTCTGCATTTGGCTATGCTGGCCTCGTTTTGGTTTGTATATTTTCTATATTTTTTTCTACCCTTTAAACTTTTGTCTCTAAGTTCTTTGTAAACACTACATAGCTGCATTTTTCTTTTTCCTTCTGTTTTTTAAAAAATTAGTTGACATAGTTTTATGTCATTTAACTCCCATGTTTTTTCCACTGAAAGTAAGTACTTACTAGTTTGTTTCCATCTGCTGAATTGCATGGTTTTAAAATTTTTTTCCACCTTTAGTTTGGATTATTTGCTATCTCCACTTTCTACTCAATTTCTATCCTCTTTTGTCTCAGTGCACATTTGCAGTACACGATTCTGTTCATCACGGGGAGTCGGCGTGTGGACTCAACACACCAGCCCGTGTGTTCCTTCCCCTCCACCTCTGTCCATTTTTTGTTCCCCTTCTCGTTTGCCAAAGATCTAGCTCCCTGTTCCCTATCATCTTTTATTTTGCTCCTTATTTTTACTTGGGGTTTCTCACGTAAGAGAAAATTAATGATATTTGAGCTTGTGTGTCTGATTATCCAATTAACATATCCTTTTTCAGGGGATATCCTAGAAACTTTTTTTTTTTTTTTTTTTGGTCTGTGGATCAAACTCGGGACCTTGCACTTGGGAGGCAGGCGGTGGCCCACTGAGCTAAGTCCTTGGCCCTGCTTTTTTTTCTTGATAGGGTCTCACTGTAGTCCAAGGTGGCCTGGCCTTGAACTCTTGCCAATGCTCCTGCCTCAGCCTCCCACATGCTTGGATTACAGACGCGCACCACCAGGCCCAGCCCTAGGAACTTTATTTAAACTGCACAGTTTTAAACACGTGGTCAATAGCTGTACCTTCCTTTCAAGCAACACAAAGATCTAAGTCTTCTTCAGTTCTAGTTCTGTCCCAGCTTACATTCTAACGTTTTCAGGAACTTTACTTTTTTACCGCACAAACTGGACAGTATTACTGTCTGAGTCACTATCAGTGCTTAGAACATACCATTCTCATGGATCCTGACCCTTGCATCACAGGCCTGCCTCCTAGGATCACGTTCCTTCTGCCAGAATGACCTTCAGAAACCCCTTTAACGAGAGTCGCAGGTAAGTTTTAGGGCTTATCTTTGGTTGTAATTATTTTGCTTTCACCCCTGAAAGAATGCATAGCTGGACTTACCACTCTAAGATACACCGTTCTAGGTTGACGGCAAGGTTTCCGCCCCACATCTGGATATGCTGATTTACTCTTGATTCTGGTACTGCTGTCTGTGTAATCTTTTTAAATTTTCGGGTGGTTTTAAGATCCCATGTGTTTGGTCTTGGGACCCTTTGCTACAGTGTGCCTGGGCTTGGGTTTCGTATGCTGGGGATTTGTTTAGACTTTTGGAACCAGGGATCGATTGCCATTTCTGAGTTCTGGAAGATCTGCCGGTCCCTCGTTCACACTGACTGGCGGCCTTGCTAGTCTCTTTCAGAAGCTTTTGTTAAGCCTGATGCACTCTCCAGATCCCTTGCCTCATTGTTCCTATTTCACTTCTCATTTTCTCTGTGCTGCATCATGGGTAAGTTCTAAGTTACTTTCAGCCGGGTCTAATCTGTAATTTGTCTCATAAATTTTAAATTTCACTCATTTTATCTCATTTCTAGAAGTTGTGTGCAATGGCTTCTCAAAACAGCCTCGTCCGTTTGGGATCTCACTTGTTACCTTGTGTAAAGTGAGGGAGACAGTAAACCCTGCCTTGCAGTTACTATGTGTGTTTTCTGTTGTATTTGGGTCCAGCAATTGCCATAATTCAATAATGGCAGATCAGATTCTGTAATCTTACGTTTATACTGATACTTGATCATGACTCATTTTCCCAGAAAACACATCTGATTCCTAGTCATACAGACCAGAACACTAGACTTACAATTTCACCATCATCACCTTTGATCTGGAAAGGCAAATACAAGTACATCTGTCATGGCATGCCTAGTTCAGCAAACCCAAAGAGTGTGTTTACTCTCCTCTGAAAAACACCCAAAAGCTGATTTTTGAAGACGAAGGGAGAAAAGGAATCCTACAGACATTTTATGTCGACTTAGTCTGTCTTTGGAAGTCAGCATAAGATTTGTAGTAGCTGATAAAGTCACACAGTAGTCACGGGTGAGTTCTGTTTAAGGAACCTTTATCTTAACCAGAGAGGCATTGTGTTCAAACCCCAGTGCCATTAAAAAGTCACAATAAAAGCCTTCCAGGAACAACACAGACAGAACCACTATAAAGCTAGATGACCAGCACGTATGAGGGGCAGGGTTCTCTCTCGTTGCAAGTAAGGCAGCAGCTGGCCCTGGTAGAGAGGGGTCAGATAAAGGGTGGTACGTGAGGTGAATTCACTCAGTATGGTAGTTCTTCAGGAACGCTAGGAGCTTATCTTTTCCAAGCTTGGTCTCTATAGTATGAAGATCTTATTGATTTAGTTCACTCTTGTGTGATTTAAATCACTCACCAAGAAACTTAACCAAGGTAAATAAGGATTGGCCATTTAAGACTGTATCTTTTACTCCTCCCCCACAAGAAAAGACCAACTCCCTCCACTTTTTTTATAAGCAATCAGATCCTTAAATTTATGACTTGTTCATTATCTCTTTGTTTTGGCCAAAATATGTTATTTGAAGAAGCCTACTAAAAGTTGCCCATATGCTACATTCCAGATTTGCCCTTCTCATGAATTTTTAGGAGGAGAAATGGCAAATTTCCTCCCCATAAGCAAACCACTCCGACCACCCACTGTAGCCCTGGTGTCTCTTTACCGGCAATATAAGGAGGGGATCAGGGCTTTCATTACAGCCCTGTGGTTCCTCTGTTACTGTTGGCTGGCAGACATTCCCATCCTCAACCTGGGGTCATTCAGGTACAGAGGGATTTGGCTTTCCCGCGAACAAATTCTCCAGGAAGCTAGGGACTCGTTGGGCAGGACTTCCTGGGGCCCCTTAGAACATGCCAGAAGGTAGCTCGTTCTATTCAGAAGCAACAACTCTGATTATCTCAGGAATAAAGCTGTTGGTGCCTTGGAACCAGCCCAGGCCTCAGAAGCTGCCAGGGACGGGTGGCACCAAGCACTCCGACCCACCTTGCTTCTGGGGGCGCTCGACACCCTCACTAACCAGACGTCCGCCCTCCATGGGGACATCTGCTTCATTCCTCGTCCTCTGTCCTTCCAAAGTACAGTGGGCCACAGCCGCCTTGGGATTGCACGCTTCCCGCATCACCACCTTTCAGCTTCTGGTCTTCCCCAACCAGCCCTGCTGTGCACGACAGAGGCTGACTGGCCACAGAACTTCGGGGTTGGGGGTGGGAGATCTGGAGGCCCCAGGCCTGGCTCTCTTCTGAATCTGTGGGTTGTCTGGCTTCTAGCTGTCCTTGGTTCTTGGTATCTAGCTCAAAGAACTGTGCAGGATACACAGAAGTAAAAGTGAAAGTGTCAGGGTGGGAGCAGGCCAGTGAAGAGTTCAGTGCCCTAAGAAGCCGGTCTACAGAACTTGTGTGACTTTTACAGGAAGAGTAGCTCTTTGGACAAGCCTAGCAAGTCCTTGCAGTGTGGGTCAAGTCCCCTCCTGGCGGGTGGAGGGCGGAGTTTTGTCCCTGTATGGGCCTTCAAGGACCCGTCATGGCGCCCAAGCCCACAGATGGAGGAATCGTGTAAATGGATTATAATTTGTTGTAATCAAGGTAGGGCCACTTTCAGGCGTCCAGGGTAATCTGTAGCACCCATGTTCTTGGGCACGGCTTAGTAGAGGTGAGGAATGGTTTCCAGAGAGCTCACTGGGGCTCGCGAAGCCTCCTGTGCGTGCACCCCTTGCCCTTCCCAGCTGCGCTCCTGAGTCAGAAGTGGGCCCTTCTGTGCTTCCGGAGAGCATGTTTCCTTCTCCCTGGCCTTCAGGCCCCTCCTTCCGGGGACCTTGCTTTTCTTCCTTCCTTCTCTGCCTCTTACCCTCCAGGGTGCTGGCTGCTTCCTGCTGGCCTGGGACAAGCCCTGCTGAGGGCGGCTGGAGCCTCGGACTCACTTGGCAGCCCTGTTCTTTGAGGGGCCCCTCGGGGAGACCTCTTCCCTCCACTGCTCTGCACACTCCCCCTGCCTCCCTGAGAATGTTTCCGGTCAGGAGAGGGCGAGCAGCTCTGGGGATGAGAAGGAGCGCTGGATGCCCCAAAGAGCACGACAGGGACTCCTAGTTGGGCTGGGAACCGACTTGCAGGGTGAGGGACCAAAGCCCAGCTGGAGGTGTGCGGCTATGTGCCTGCGCACACGAAAGCTGTAAAGCAAGCTGATAAGACCTACCGATGCTTCTGCTGGGCGAGTCTGTTTCCACAAACTCTTACGGGCAGCCCACCGCAGCCACATCGGCCAGCAAGCCCCACTGTAGGAATCCATACCTGGAGCTCCCCTCTAGCGGGCAGTGGATCCTGACCGAAGCTCTCACGGTCCCTGGCTGCGGGCGCTGGGCCTTTGGTCAGAGAATTCCAGGGTCCCCACACCTGGGGCGTGGCTGTGGAACAGCTACTCCTCCGGCTCTGCCGATGCCCGCAGCGCGGGAGAGCGCCACCGGGGGAGGACTCAGTGGCGCCCGCTAAAGGAGGGGCCTGGCCCTTCTTGGTGACAGGACAGCTTGGGGATTGTTGGTTTTGGTTTTGCTGGGTTACAGTTGAGCTTCAGTGACCCCGCCAGGATCTGTGCACATGAATAACTCACACAGGGCAGCAGAACCGCTGCGACTGCATCGACTAGCGGGCGGCCCACCTCCAGGACCGCACAAACGAAACTCCCAACATCACCGAGTGCTGACCATACGTGGGGCATTTAACCACTTTGCGATAGGATCCGGTTTAAATCTCATAACGATTTCATGAGCCAGATAGTAGAATTTATATCTTTTATAGAAACAGGAAACTTAAAACTGAATTTAAGGACGTATACAGGGCCCCAAAGCTAGTAGGTGAAGGGACCACAATAAAACACGTAAGCCTGTCACAAGAGCCGTGTGTTCTATGGCCACTGTGATACATGCAGCTCTGTCAGTGGGTTAAGCGTAATAATGAAACCAGATCACGGTCATCAGCCACGTTAGCAGAATAAAGAAGAAACCAAGGGGTCACCTTGAAAGACGACAAAGATGCATTTTAGCAAAACAGGACCTGTTCACAAAGAAGGAAACAACATTCCAGCCAAACTAGGAATAAAATATAAACTGAAAACAGAATGTAATCTTAAAAATCTAAAGGAAATATTATGCTTAGAGTATAACCCCTTACCCCTTAAATAAACCCCTTAGAGTAGAAGCCAAAAAAAAAAAAAAAAAAAGGATAACAGCTATTGCTAATTTTACTGAGGAAAAAAGAAGAGTCAAGTTATTAATATCAAAAAGGAAAGTGCATCGGAGTACAGAGTGCACAGATATTAAAGAATAAAACTTGATGCTCATAGATTTGACAACCGAGGGGAACATTCCTGAAGGTACCCAATGCACCACCGCTCACTCGAGGAGGGGTGGGATCTGCACAGAAATGGAAACTGCAGCAGAGTATCCTCCCACGAAGAAAACACCAGGTCCAGATGCCTTCACTGGGGATTCTAAGAGCCAAAGAGATGACCCTAACTGGACACAAATTCTTTTGGTAACCGGAAAAGCAGATACTTCCCAACTCATCTTAGAGGCCACTCTCACCCTCACGCTGACACTCAAACCAGCAGACAGTATTTTAAGAAAACTGCAAACTTTTTCTCAAGTTTATACCCTCAAATTTTCAACAAAATCTGAGCTAGAGAGTTGAATCTAATAAAAAATTATACACATACCATAACAATGTTAGGTTAATCCCCAAACTATAACATGGATATAATAGCCCAAAGGAAATCAATAGAATTTATTGAAAGAGAAAAACTATATGATTATTTAAGACATGTTGAAAATTATTTGGCCCAATCCAATATCCACTCCCGTTAAATTATATGATCGAGCTAGAAATGCAGACAAAGCAACCATACCCAGCCTAGTAAGAGACACCTATGGAAAACTTAAAGCTAGCATTGCACTTAGTGGTAAAATACTGAATACATTTTCCCTTAGATAAGAAACTTTACTATAGCATCAGTACATAATGAAACACAGATAAACAGATCTGACAAAAAGCTATTAAAGACATATATATACACCACAAAAACATCACTGAGAGAAGCTAGAGAGCATCTTAAAAATAGACAGCTGTATACATTTATGAGTCAAAGACCTAATGTGTTAAGATGTGAGCTACTCCCAAACTGATCCATAGATTTAACGTGATCGCAATGAAAATCCCAGCAGACTTTAGGGTAAAAATTGACAAACATCCTACAATTCCTAAGGAAATGCAAAAAGACCCAGAGTCACAAAAATAACCTTTCAGAAGGACAGATTTCAAGGGTTAACACTACTGAATATCAAGACTTGTTATAAAGCCACAGGAAATACAAGTAGAGGTAAAGATAGACCATTGGAGCGATGGAACTACACAAAAACCCAGAAATAGAACTACAGATGGACACATGTTTAATATTGAACAGAGACCAAAAGCAATTCGATGTAGAAAGTGCAACCTTTTCGACAAATAACCCTAAGACAGGTAAATATCCACAGGCACACGGACAAAACTAGATGAATTCGTATCTCGCCATATTAGAAAGTTAATAGTTAACATAGAATGGGTCACACTGTGGTAGCTGAAACTGTAAAACTTACGGAAGCAAATGTAATAGAAAAATATGGTGACAGGACACCAAAAAATACAATATATAGAAGATTTATATGAGCAAAACTTACAATGACTAACCTTCAAGGGACAAGTTTCAGGGAACGCAAAGACAAGCTAGGTAACGGGGAAGAGAGTTCCGAAGCTTACATCTCATTTAAAAGCTCCAAGATATAAACTTTAAAACTCAACAATAACAAGCTAAGTAACCTAACAAAAGCACGTGTGAAAGATTTTAGCCAACACTTTACCAGAGAAAATATATGGCAATAGGGCACAAGAAAAGATGCTGTCATGATTGCTAATTAGGGAAATGGGAAAATCAGCGAGATTGAAATCACCCCACATCCACCAGCATGGCTAACATGTAGAAGTGACCACACTAAGTGCTGCAGAGGTTGTGGAGGAACAAGAATGGTCACGCTCTGCTGGTGGGACTGAAACGTTCAACTCTGGAAATCCGTCTGGGGGACTTCAAAGGGTCAAGCAGAGTTCCCATAGGATTGAGCCATGCCCAGGTATTCACCCACATCAACACGAGGCCACGACTGTCCACTGGATCTCTGTGGGTCACGATCAAAACCGGGAAGTCAGCCCGGGTCCCCCGACAGGTAGATGGGTGGACACGTTATGGGTGCCCGTGCTGCAAAATGTGATTGTCATAAAAGGAAATGAGTTCCTGGTACCCATGGTAATTAAGATCGGGGAAAGAAACTGGACTAAATGTGGTACACGATCCACAATCCACTTATACAGCACGCTGTGCCACTCAAACCCATCTCCAGTGACAAAGCAGCAGATTCAGGTTTGGGGAAAGAGAGAGAGAGAGATGCCGGGGGGAAGATCAGAGACACACGAAGGAATCTGGGGCGAGATTAATACGTCCAGCTCTGTCTCTGTTCTCATGGTGGTGCTGCGGGCGTCAAGACCCATGGAACTGCACACTGTAAACATCAGTAGCTGAGTGCATGTCAGCTTCACTCTCGTGCAAGATGGTCCGGGACCCCTGTCCGCCACCACTCACAGCCTCGTCCAGCTCCCTCTCCCTCTCTCGTCCAGCTCGTTCCTAACCACTACCCCACTGCACGTTACGTGGAGCTCCCTGATGTCTGGAGACCGCCTCTCATTCACAGCCTGCCAACGCCCCCTGCAGCCCCCAGCGGACAGCTTGCTTGCAGGCTCCTGGGAAGCAGATGCCCAGCTAAACTCTGGACCCCTGACCCACAGCAAGGATGCGCTGTTGACGCCATGAGGTCCATAGTCATTCATTTCAATAACAGATACAATGAATAAAAGCAAGCAAACCAACCGGCTGCAACAATTGGCCCACACAGCCACCAGGGTGGCTAAAATTCGTGGCTGATGATACTAAACGTTGACGTGTGGGCTAAGTAGAACTCTCCCACACTGGAGCAAAATAATGTGGCACTGCCATTTTGGAAAACTGTAAGGCCTGGCGATTCTAGGTATAGGCCCAGTGAAAATATATACGTACCTGCATCACAAATATACACAGCAGTGCCCCAAGAAGTTAGCAGAAGGGTCAAACTGGAAACAAGCCAAGTTCCAATCAACAGTAAAATGGATTGTAAAATCTTTGCCCAATGAAATGCTACACAGAAATGAGCAAGCAGCTAAAATAAGCAACGTTTTGGAAAAAGCTCACAACCAAGAGTGATTTGAAGACCCAAAGCACAAAGCACTCGGTTACTGTATTTAATTAAGGTGGAAACCAGGACCAACCATGATCACACGCTGACTGAGCTCAGTCTCCATGAGGGTCATGTGTGGGAGGAACTACAAGGGGACCTGGTGAGTTCTGAGTTCTTGAATTGGGATGGGCTTTGTCACTGACGTGTTCATCTTGCAAACATTTAATTGTAAACTTCTACTTTTGTGCGTGCTGCGCTTTACAAAAAATTTGACCAAAACGCTAATTATGTAATAGAGTGGAGAAAATATACAAATAATGATTCACCTCCTGGCTGCATGGGACACTTTGCGTTGGCCCAGTGCCCGGCATGGTAGGACTGCTCGGTTTACTTCTCACAGCTCCAGGACACCGGAGTCACCGCCGCGGTGCCTCCCATCCCACTCCTGGCCACTGGGGACTGGCGTCTCCAGGGAGGTGACAGACTTCTGCATGGCCTCATCCCAGTCATGCAGACTCTGCCCTGCCCTCTGACCCACGGCCCCAAAGCCCTACCTCCTCCTCCTCCTGTCTCACAGGGTTAGAATTTCAACACACAGATTTAAAAATAGACAAACAGGAGGGCCGTTATGGCACATACTTGTAACCCCTGCACTCTGGGGGCTGAGGCAGGACGACCGAAAGTTTAAGGCCAGTCAAAGCCAAGATACAGCGGGGGTTGTGAACATCAGCCAAAAAATCAGCCACAGAACTAAACAAGCTGCAGGAAGCCTGCCTTTGCACAGACTCACTGACAGGCCATCTTGGCACCAAGAACCCCAAGCTGTTATGGCAAAGCCCCACCAAGCCTTGGGTAGCTGTCAGCCCACCCTCCTGAGCTGTGAAAGCCTTTGCCGGCTTCTCTCCTCCCATCTGGTCCCCCACCCCAGTAGGGTGTGCCTTGGGAATAAAACCAGACCCTTAGCTTGGGGTTGGGGAGAGAGACAAACCCAGATGTCCCAAGGAGAGGCCCATCCCTCCCAACAGACTCTGAGGAGTGGTGGCCCAGCAGGGCTGGTCCTCCTCAGGCCAGGCTGCCCCCGACCACACCAGCAGTCTTAGTGGCTCCCGGGCTGAGTTTAGAACCCCCTTGGGGAATCCAGCCATGGGGCAATGTAATCCCAGCTCTCTGGGAGGCTGAGGCAGGAGGATCACAGCA